CAGTGAAACAAGTTTCTTGTAGGCAGCATATAGTTGCACACTGTTTATTAACTTTTAGCCAGTCTATATCTTCTGACAGAAGATCATGAAGATAGTTTGTATCACTCTGCAGTGCACATAAGCTACCAAAGATGTGTGTATCATCAGGCCCCACAGATACAAGCCCTGATGATATTGGGGCCTCCATTTCAGTGATGCAGGTTGTGGGAAAGACTATCACTAGGTGCCTTAGTGCCAAGGACAGGTGACCAAAGGATGTGGCACTGACAGTCTGGCCCCTGAGTCACAGGACATGTACGTAAAGAGCCACAGTTCTAGAGCCATAGGATGGGATATGACCTTCTCTATGTCCCACAGGATGAGTATAGTTGATACTGGGGGCTATGACATAATTAACTGTGGACTTGATGTTTTGGAAAACAAAATGGATTTTCTCTATGTCCCATGTGGTGAATGCAGTTGGTGCTGAGGCTTGTAGAGCAATTAGCTTCTTCTTTGGAGCTATGGGACCTAGATGATAATTTCTCCAAGTCCTAAGGGACAAGTACAATTAGCAAGCAGGGCTTTTGGCACAAGCAGCTCTGGTTCAATATCCATGAGCTATTGACGAGCCTTTCCCTAGGTCTTCCAGGACACATGCAGGTAATATTTCTGCTTGTGGTGCTGGTACTCATTCTAGAGGTGTAGGATGTAGGGAAGATTGTCCCTAGGTCCCATGATTAAGCACAAGTGGTGCTGGGGTTTGTGGCTTTGTTATCTGTGATCCTGGAGCTACTAATATGGATGGAAATGCCCCTAGGTCACATGGGGCAAGTTCTGGTGGGGAAAAGCCTTGTGCTATTTGTAGCCACAGTCCTGGTGATTCAGGGCACACATAGACTTTCCCTGGTCCTCAGCGACAAGGTTGGGTGATACAGATGCTTTCTGTACCAGCAGCAGTAGTTCTAAGGGCATGGGTGGGAATGAGACATTCTTTAGTTCCTGTTGGATAAAACACAGGTACTGCTAAAGATTGGGGCTGAAAAAAAGCAGCTGTGATATTCCTTAGCCCCCAAAGGCCTAGGGGCTGAAGCTGGGACTCTGCATAGCAGCTACATTCATAAGCTCATGGACTGGGAAGATCCTTCTTAGTTCCTATGGGATGATTACAAGTGGAGATGGGAGCTGTGGCTGCCGGTAGCTGTGCTCTTGGAACTGTAGAAAGCAGTTGAGACATTTCTTAGCTTCTAATGGGCAGATCGGAGTGAAGTCAAGACTTCACAATAATAGTAGCTATCCTCCCAAGGTTGTGGGCTGGGGAGGAGACCTTACCTAGTTCCGACAGGGCAAGTGCAGGGGAGACTCATGGTTGTCCTTGTGGCACCCGTTCTGACACTGCAGAAAGCTGAGGTGGCTGTCTTCCACCCAGTGAAAGGTGTACCAGCGTAAGGCTTCTGGTAGCATCAGGGAGTCAGCTGCTGACCTCTAAGCCAACACAGCATCTAAAAGTGGTTGTTTTAGTAATCTGAGTTCCTAGAGTAGAGAAGGGAGGCCCACAGTGGGTTCCTTTCTTTGCAGCAGGAGGCTGTTAGCTCATCTACCTTCTCAAACTAGATTTAAAACTTGTAAGAACCATGGAATTATCCTGTAGTTAGGACTACTGACTGCTCCTATGATGTAGACTGCTTGCATTTCCTGCTTACCTTTTCCCGGCACTGTCAAGTTCCCTTGACCAAATGAAGTTACAAACTGCTTTGCTGTTTTCTCTAGGTTGTGATTCTGACTCTCCATGATGTTTAAGGTTTCCATCACTTCCTTCCTAATTGCCACAGTTCTCTTTCAGTAACTCTCCTTAAAAATAGCTTTTCCCCTGCTGTCTTGATTCTTCTCTGTGGCAGAGTGGCAACTGGGGCCTCTCAATTCACCCATCTACTAATATTGTATTTTTTAACATCAAATACTATCTTATTACTTCCATCACACTTCCTATTGCCCTTTCATCTTAGCTTGATCTTGCCTTATAAATACATAATTTAATCTAAAAAAGGTAAGTCTTCTAGAAAGACATTGGTGATCCCAAACATTTTCTCCCGGCCCAAAATAAATCATTTTCAAAGCATCCATTTCTTCTCAGCCTTCCCTGTCCTACCCTTTGCTTTGTCTCTCAGTATTTTTTTCTTAGGTCCTTTGCTTCTTTTCTCTCTAGTTTTATTTGTTTTGAGAGTTTTCTATTTATTCATCCTCAAATGAGATGGCAGCAATCCAGACTCAAAATCTTTCAACAAAGTGTTTGGACAGCTCTGGCTCCAATCTCTGTCCACTGCTGTTGTAGATGAGTGTCTTTTTCATCTCTGCAGCTGAGTGAGTTGATGTGCATGGCTTCGTGCCCATTTCTCATCTTTTAAGCTCTTCTGGCCAAGATAGGGTGCCCTTCAACTACCTTCTGACTCTAAAATTCCTAACATATTTCCTATCAAGTCTCGCTTCTAAATATTTTTATGGATGGAAAACATACATCTTGAGTTACATATATCCCAGTTTAAAATTTCCCACCTGGGACCAGGCTGCCTGTTCATTTTCTATCCTGCTTCCAATTGAATATTTAAGAGAGCTAGAGCTACTAATGAGTCTGAGGAAATGGCATTTCCTCCTACAGCAACATTTTCTGTTTGGAGCAAACTATATAACAGAGGGACAAAGATACTTCCTTTCTATTTTCATGTGAATAGAATAATGATGGGCTACTGTTGAGATTTTCATCACACTCATCTTAAAGTATAAGTAATCAAATATGCATATACAAGCACATTATACACACACACACACACACACACACACACACACACATATATATATATATATATATATATATATATATATATATAATATATTGCTCCCTACTAATTTTTATTATTTCTTGGTTTTGTCTTTTTGGAGTCTTTATAGATATTTTACTCTTAGGTATATATGCTATTTTCAATCAGAAGGTTGTTGCTCATTTTATTTTATAAAATTACTGCAAACAATTTTTAAATGTGGACTTTTATACCATAACAGTATTCTAGACAGTAACAGTTTCCAAACTGAAAGAATAGTAAGGGGATACTGAATTAAGTTATTGATTGTGTTGTGAGGCAGAAAACTATTTCTAAAGTGTATACTCAATCCAAATAATTATTTTATCTTTTAAGTTTTCAAGACTTATTTTTATTCTTGTAAAAATATTTAATTGCACAAAATTACAATTAATTAGTAATTTAAGATTATTTTTAAAAAAGATTATTGGCAGTAGTTTATAACCATCTCATATTATCATGAATTATACTTCTGGGTATAGCAGTTTATCTCATGAACTAGGCATAGTGTCTCAATAGCACAGTCATGGTTTGTTGATAGCCCATAACACTGAGAGTTCTTGTCAGTGATTTCTTATTATAAATGTGATCACTTTTAAAGTACATTTTTGTACTCTCAAGCTTTCATGGATAAAAAATTATCCAAGGAATCGTTTTTTACAGAACAGATTTGTAAACTCACGCTCAGGGATTCTGTTTCATTATGCCTGATGTCAGGGCTAGGCTTCTCTGCTTTTTCATAGGGTATCCCCTTGGATAATTTCTTATCCATGAAAGCTTGAGAATCACTGGTCAAATGAACTAAGTAGAACATGGACTAAAAAATTAGCTTAAGGAAACAAGGAAGTCTCTGATGATATTTTATAAACCCATTTAAAAGACTTCAAGTGAAGGACCAATATTAAATTCCAAAAATCCATTAGCATTTATTTTATCTGACACAATCAGTTTGCTAAAATGGCTCCAGAATTCTAGTAACCCAAGTTGCTACTTGAATTGATTCAAATTATCTAGGCATTTTCCATGTAGAAACGTAGTAAACCATTACAAAAGCAACATTTCCCTGAAGATTTCACTAGATCAATTAATAAAAGAAACATTCAAATTCCAAAACATGTACCAACTATCAAGGAGAAAACTGTAATCAGATGTCAACTATTTTGTTATTTTTCATGGCTCTTTCAGTTTCTTGTCATTAATAATATTCTAAGAGTTAATCTTGAAATACAATGATTATTTTCTTAGATAACCTTGCTAAAAATATTATCTGAGACTATTATATCAGGTTTGTTACAAAGTTATTTCTAATACTATCATCAAACAGCCAGGTGCAATTCTGGTACAATCTCCCACATAAATGATTTGAAATTAAATATTCTGCTGAAGCAAAAACAAAATCTTTCAGTTTAAGAGTAAAAAAATGCCAACAGTAATTTTGTCATTATATTAAGACTTTCAGCTGGTCTATAGGTATTTAGGAGAAAAACAATTCTACTGAAAGAGAAACATTGAGGCAATTTCTGATTTTCATTTGATGGTTCTGAAATATATATATCCATTAAACAAGATTGTTAACACACTTATTTTCAGTTATTGGGACATTTGGTCTATGTATGTGTAGATATAATTCAAGATTGCTTCCTAATTACATAATTCAAGGCTGTTTATTTTCAATAAATATTGTGTAAGAGAATTAAGAGAAGAACTACTCTGGTTAAATTTCAATAAAATTCCACCAAGATGAGAAACATCTTAAAATTCTATTTAAAACATATTAATAAAAGTGTATTGATAAATTTGATTTTAAAATAAAAGTAAATTAGTGATACATGCAATAGTTTAGTACTTAAATTAGAAAGGAATTTTTTGAACCAGTTAATGAAACACTTGAATTTTTTTAATCCACATAATAGATTAGGGAATGTGCAACTATTAAATCATCTGGAAAGAATTTTCATATTCTCTTCAAATAGGATTAGTTGTAATTTAGTAAAGCTGCTGATTTGTTAGTGATGTTTCCATCTTAGCTTCAGACAACTAAAGCTATCCAAGGATTTTTTCACTGAAAACTAATTGATTTGATAGATATTGTCATTCTCAGATAGCTTATGAGAAAGGACAGAGACAGAGGGACACCATGATTCAGAAGTTACAAAAGGACAGTACCTTGCACTGTGAGGAAAACTGAAAGTGCAGCTGATCCGCCTTCACTGGAAACCATACAATGGTACTCTCCAGCATCGCTGACTTTCACACTCCTTAGTTCCAGTGAGAGGTTGGCCAATGTACTAATTCTTGCTGGCTCTGCCAGTCTCACATCTCTGCCATTCCTCTGCCAGGTTAGATTGTAATCCACAGCACTGGTGACAAGACATGTCAAAATGGCTCTCTCTCCAGGAGTGACTGTAACATTATTAGGCACTTGGATGACTGGAGGGGGCTCTGTATGAAATCAAAAGATTAAAATCAAGAGACCTAAAAGCCATCATGCTCACCTATATGCTGCATGTGGTTTAAAAACTGAATGAGTAAGCACTGAGTAGGTAGCAAAGCTGTAGTACAACAGAACTTACTGATTAATATGTCAGCAACCCCTTCCCAGTTAGGAACCAGTTAAGAGTTTAAAAAAGTAGTGTACATTTACATACCAAAGAATACACAAGTCCAAATCTATAAACTGTAACGGTGAGCATCAAAGAGATGTAGCAAAGGGATATGATTGAATAGATTTAGAATAGTGGAATGAGGTAAATTTTTAATTTCAGTTTTGATAAAAGAAATATATGGATTTTTTAAAATTTAAAAATATATATTTAGGGTTTTAAAAAGATACAGGAAGGACAGCAGACATTGCAAAAAATATGACAGTATTGGTTTCAAGAGGGGTTACAATCTCATTCAGAAGTACAGGGCAGGGGATGTAGCTCAGTGGCAACACGCCTGCCTGGCAAGTGCAAAGTCCTGAGTTTGATCCCTGGTACCACACACAAAAAAAGACCAAATGTAATAGTAGAGTAAGACTAGCATCCTCTAAGCAAGAATAGAGAAAGATAGGCACATACTTCTCATAAGTGTGTAGCCACAGAAACATGTACACAAAGGGCACTAAGCAATGAACACATGGATATTTCAGATTTGTTCAAAATTCAACTGCTAATTAAATATTTAACCAATACTTCCAGAGAGAATCCCATATGGCTCTAGTTTTGAAGCTGAATCTAAATTCCCTTTTTACAGCTCACTCTGCCAAATGCTTTAAAATGATCCCTTGTAGCAATACATTATAAATAATACAGCAATAAAAAGTAATGATAATTGCTAGTTAAAAATCTATTTGTCTGTTTTAGTTAATATATGAAAGCATGTCAGATATTCAAGGTCAAGCTTACCCCAATGTATTTAAAGCTATATGCAAAAGCAGATAAATATCACAAGACTAGAATAAAGACTAGAACCAAATATGCCGAAAACCATAGTGGTTATCTCTGACAATAGAAATGTTTGTATATTTTCTGTTATATTTATCCTTGTATACCAACCTTTTTCTAAATGCTATTTTTAAATTATTTTAAAATAATGTAAATTTTTTATCATTGTGCCATGGTTTTAAAATTTGTGATGAAAACAGGAAGTTAATCTAGTGGAAATAATACATGACAAAATTAGGAAGTTTTGACTGCAGTCTGGGCTAGGGTTGACGCATAAAATAAATGAAACTGTTAAATCTGAATTTCAGATAAACATCAAATAATATTTTACTATGGCTTCTGCAGCATTTGGGGCACACATGAAATTCAATTTTACCTAAGCATCCAGTTTTTTAATTTGCTGAGTGTGGCAATCACAGACTGCCAGGTCCTACCCCTACATAGCTGTGTGAATTTAGGTAAGTCAATTTACTGACAGTTTTCCCTATCTCAACAATGAGATCATTAAAATAAGTGATCTTAAAGGTCTCTTATAGCTCTAAGGTCCTATGAAGCTAACATGCTGAAATTGAGCCATTTCTAAATGCGGCCCTCATCTAATCACCACTTAATGATAGAAGGAAGGCCCAGCCCAATGCAGGGCTGTTCCAGCCCCAGAGCTCCTGTAGGATCATATGAGGATCTTGTTGTAACTGTATCACAGTTTATGTCTTTCCACTTGTCACAGGTGCTTTCCCTGGAGAAATCTCCAATAATGATGTTGTGTGCAAACTCTTCCTCAGAATTTATTTCTCCTTCAAATATAAATTGCAAAGTAAATGACAACTTTATAATAACTTATATGGGCAGATAATATTTGAAATAGGACTGGGGAGTGTAACTCAGTGTTAGAGTGCTCACCTAACATGCATGAGGCACTGGGTTCAATCCTTAGCACTGATATACAAAAAAAGGTTTGAAACATATGACACTACCATTGCACAAAAACCTGGAGATACTGCACAATAACGTCTTTATACATATATGAATAAATTTGGTAGGGAGAGGAGAGTGATGAAGGAGAATTATAACAGTTTGTGAAAGATTATAATTACTAGATGACTTAGTTCTGGGAGTATAAGCAAAGGCTTTCCTAAGTCCAGGTGTTTTTTCTTTTCATTTTTTTGGTATCAGGGATTGAACTCAGGATCTTGCACTTGCAAGGCAGGCGGCGGCACCACTGAGCTAAATCCCCGGCCCAAGTCTTTGCTAAGCGAAAGCATATTGAGGCTAGGACATGGTTCTGAAACAGGACGCATGACATGCATAGGCCTTGTGACATTAAGGGTCGTTAGACTAAGAATCAGAAGGCCAGGAATCTATTTCTCACCACCTACCCATCTAAATGAGTTACTTGCTCGCTCTAGGCCTCTGTTTTTTTAGCTATAAAATGACGAGATGGGGCAAGATTACTTTCAAGTCTTATCCTGTTCTAGAAGAATATCATATAATAAAAGCTTAAGGTTTCTTGTCACTGACATACCCCTCAGCAAGTTTTTTCTATGCAGAATTTTACTTAAATCCACAATTTTAAGTTCTCTGAGTGTATGTGCATGTGATGAATGTGTATTTGTGTGTATGTGTGTGTATATTGGGTAAGGGTTTTTGTGTTAAAAAGTAAGTACAGAAAAATTAATATAACTGTCCAGTAATCATTTGGAAAAAATCAGATTGTGATGCTTCTCATTTTATTCATTGATTTCCATGTATTTTTATTCAGTAAAAGTAACACATAATGCTTTCTTCACACATTTTGTATTTAAGAGAATCAATGAGCAACATTTCAAATGAACTAAAAATCCTTAAACATGTAAATAGAACAAAGTGATAAAAAATATTGAGGGAACATATTGGTAGATATTTAGCTTTTCTTTAAACTGCTCTCAAATGCTCCTTGACTTGCTATGATATAATTACAGGAATTATACAAAAGTATCACTATTTTCCCTACCACACTTTACAAAATATGAAATCTAAGTATTCTGAGAGTTGATACCTGACCCCTCTGTGCTGATGAACAGGTCCAGTTGGCTGCCCAACTGCAACCTCAAGGAAATTCACAGTAGGTGGAGGTAAAGGCTGGTATCTAGGCAACAGCTACCTCCCAAGGAAATGTCTAATCTTTCACATTTAAGGGGAGCTTGGTTGTTACTTCTGTTCTTCTAATCATTGCCATTACTATCAGTGCCTCTGCCCCCTTCTTTCATAATTTGAGTGGGAAATAATTCCTGAAAATGATTTCCTATTTACACCATTGCCTGGCTGGCACAGACTAGTGCTCGCAGGGCAGATGTAGGGTATACAAACAGAAGTTTCTGACACCACAAAGCCAAACTCATAACAGCTCACAAACTCATACTGGTACTGCTCAGGTATTTATGCAAGCTGTCTGAATCAACTCACTCAAACCTCTTTCCTTGCTTTCCTTTCCCTAATTATTATCTCTGAGAAAATACTGAAAGTACTCAAGTGTTTGTTTCCCCAGAAGCTGACCAATGTTGACACAATTCCAGGGCTTTTCATAATTTTTGGAGATGAAAAATGTAAGTTTGTGATTATGTCAACTTGCTGAATTATTTCAGAGGACAGCCTTTATTTTTCTAAAAGTAAAAGAATAGATATAGTTTTACTGAAAGAAAAATATGTTTGCCTAACTTACATGTATCTGTTTCAAAGTCCAGCTTGGACTTATCCTCAGCTACTAAACAGTATTATAATTAAAATATTTTATCTTAAATTATCTGAAGAAAATATAAACCAATACTAAAAACAAATATATAGATTGTTATTAAATCATCAGCCACAATATTTAGGTCAAAATAGGTTACTATTAAACTCATAGAAAAACAAGTCCAAAAGCAATCAAAATAAAGTTTAATATACAGATATACACTAAGTGGCTTACAGCTGACCACTGGTTATGTATAGAAGATGTTTTCCCTATGGATCCTGGGAGATCAGAGAAGAAAAATTTTACTTTAATGTATTTTACCTTATAAAACATGAACTTTGGCTCCTATCTATTCCTTGGAAATATATGTCTGTCAAATAATTAGCATTATTTATTCCCTTCTTAGTACCAAGACTGTAGACACTGAGGCTCTGTATTCCTAGACTGTGATGACTTTTGTTCAATTTAGAAATCAGAATCCATTCATGAAAACATTCTGCTCATTATGAATATGGGAAGGAAAGGGGATGCTTAAGCTTGTTATTATCACAATAGATCCTGTGCTTAAATTTTATTTTCTCAAAGGAAAATATCATATGGTTATCTCAAAAAAGGAATAATACCTTAGGATAATGACAATAACAATACAAATAATAACAGTAACTGTATATTAATTGTTTCTATGTGATAAACTGTCTTCTAAGTACTTTACATATATTATATCCAACAGGTAATCCTCACAATTTCTCCCTGTGATAGAACTACTGCTTCATTATATTCATTTTATAGTTAGGAAAACGAAGACATTGAGTCCTTAATGGCACAGGAAGGTCAAACTGCTGGTATGCAGTGAAGCCAGGACTTGAGTTCACAGTCCAGTGAGGTAGAGAAATTATTTTTAAAAAATCATAAACATCATTGTATAAACACATCCTGGTGAGCAAACATCCCATTTCTACAGCTATAGTCACATGCCGGCAACCACAAAAGAAATCAGGGTGAGGTACCTGACACATCAAAAAATGTCTGTGCCCGTCCAGTCCCTGCACTGCTGACAGCAATGCATTCATAGGAGCCTTCATCAGACAAGGTGACCTTTTCCATATCCCAGTTCACACTAGCAGATTCTCTAGGGGTGCGAAATGGGAAAAAAATGGTTACTATAAAAACAAGACCAAGTTGAAAGCAATGATCCTGCTATTTCTTTCTGAAGGATTCATTCAAAAGAGCAATATAAAGAAAATAAATTGATAAACAGGCAGAATTATTTTTATTTTAAAAACACATATTTTTTAACAAGAAAGTCAAACTTTTTTACTCAGAGTAAAAGACACGATGATCATAGTAAATTATGAAGTCTGGAAAATTCTTTGAAGAACCACTTTCTGGCTACGTTAAAATATAACAGAGCTGAAAAATAATTGTTAAATCTCTCCCTTTCCCTTTTCTCCAGTTTTGAATCATGTTCAGTGCAGACCCTAACTAAGGCAATTGCACTATGTTATTAGAAATGTGAAGGTAGGAAATGAAATTTTCAACTCTAAGAAGAACATTTTTTCTTGATTTTTACATATAAGTTGTACATGGTTCAATATACCATACCTGAGTCAATCTACATATACAATTTTTAAAAGTATAAGTTTTATGTCAAATTCTATCATTTAGGCTAAAAGAATCCTTCTGCTGTATTATGCATTGATTCCATTAATATTCATTCGATTAATAATAATATTTATTCTTTGTCTTCTAGCACTGTCCAAATTACTTCTCAGTTTCTGGAAACATCTTGGTAATAGATATTAATCTTTGTTTGAAATAGTCTAATAAACTACAAGTATAGGCATTACAGTATTTTAATTGAAATGTCATAAATATTGTCATAATTTTTCTCATATCATCTGTAGCTATTCATATTTTTTTTAAAAGTCAAGATATAATAAAGCTGAAAGCCCCATTACAGTATCAAGGCATCATCCACTGAATCTGAAAGTGCTATGAGGGGTCATACCACCCAGGGACACCTCTGTATCTCTCCCCATCCAGACATACTGCATCCACCATCAAACAACCATGAAGAATTTACTGAGTTTAACTCATTTTTACCACTAGCCTAGGATTTGTACATCATAGATCCTACCATCAGGACGTGAAAAATCAATCACTGAGAATATTCACATCAGTTAATGTTTTCTTTTAATTCTATATGCATATATGTCAGTGATTTCTTATGGTCACACTTAGAAGAAAATGGAATATCCTTTATTCTGTATTGGTCATTTAAACTGCATCTTGAATGCTTAAATGCAATATGCTAGGCATAAGTTTGAACATGTCATTATCTAGGAGGTACTCTGAGTTCCAGGAAAATAGGAATTTAGAATGTGTACATCTTTGGTGTTTTCTTCAGTGTGGTCCACTTCAGATCCATGCATCTATCGCATTAGAATTCAACAAAAATTTAGACTCATGGAACTCTTACACAAAATGACAATGCTTCTAGCCCTAAATCTTTCATTTTAAAAACAGGAAAGTTGAGTGACAGGGAATTTGTTCAAAGGCACATAACCAGTTTGCTTATTGTTTAAAGAATGCTTTTTATATTTTACTTGGCTTAGTTTCCTCATGTTTGTGAAATATTACATGAAAACAAATTCTCTTCTTCATGTAGAATTCTCACCTTATAAGCACTGTATAGTCACATTTTTTAACGTTCTTAATGGATGTATTTTGGGGAAAGGAAAAGAACATGTCCAGTAGAAATGTGTCTTGTTCCTAAGGCAAAGTGATTCCCTATTATATCCCCTGATGACTAAAATGACTGACATAAACAAAGACTGAGTCACATGTTTCACATTACAAGGAAAGCTAGGGCAGAGACATATGACTCAGGGTTAGAATATCAGTCTATCATCACTTCTGCCTAATTTTGTCTCTAGCCTCTCACATCCAAGAAGAGCTTAATACATGTCAGGGAGGCATGTCATATCTGAGGGCCACAGAGCTGGAGAAATGAGGAAAAGAATTCTTGTGGCTTACCTCCCAGGAATTGTGTGGAATTAATGAATTAATGTTTATAAAGAACCTCAAGTGTCTTTGAAGAATGTTATTATTTAAACAGGAAACAATTATTTTATTTCATTGGCCAGTTATGTAGCTTCATCATTTGATATCCTGGTCACTTATGTTGTTGCTTATAAAATATGCAGCTAAGGAAATCATCAAGATATATTATTTAGAGCAGGAAACCCTTGAATTCAATCTTTAAAGAATGGACAATATAAAAAATAAAAGAATGGAACATATTCTAGTCATGATGAATATTCTTGCCATACATTTTTGCTTAAAAATGACTCCTCATAAAAGATGGTATAAACTAAGACTGTCAGATATTTAATAACTTATGGAAGTAATATTAATATTGAATTAACAGTGTAAAGGGTTGGTAAAATAATTTCCAGCATAGTTTTTTTTCTCAAAATGTAGTTTGTTTCATGGTAGGTCAAAAAGCAACATTTTCCAGAAACCCTTTTCCCCCAGTTTTTGAGGTCTATTTAATCTTTATCATTAGATTGCTTATATTTATCTAAAAAGTCATTCAACTTCACAAGGAAAAGTTGGTGCCTTCTGACCTACTTGTGTTGATGATTCTATGCCGTAGCCCCATGTGCTTCAGAACCATCTGCAAGCCCACCTCGGGCACACACTGAACCTCCCTGACCTTACTCTGCTCCTGGCCCATCCTCACTAGGCCCCTTGCTTTGTTTCGCACATGCCCAGTCTACGTGGTCTCATGCATTTGTCTTCCTGGTGTGCACTTGCTCTTCCTGTTGTGGGAACTCTCACCCACGGCTCGCTGATGAACCGTCCTTCTCAACATCCTCGGGTCTTTAGCCAAAATCTCCCTGAATCTGAGTTTTAAAATTGCGACTCAACCAAAACCACATACACCTCACCTACCAGCATTATTTTTCCTAATTAACTTGTTGTGCTTTTTTCTAGAACACTCATCAGATTCATTTATCAGAACACTTTGAATCAGATTCAGAGACCTACTTACCCCAAAGCCAATAGTGCTAAAGTCTCAAGGCCTCTCCTTTATTTACAAGGACACCTTCCAAGATCTGGTCCCTAATATTATATTTATAGTTCTGTATCCTTTGTCTCCACGTGAGGCCTTCAGGTTACATAAAATTCAGATTCTATAAAATCTGAATAAACCTTTGAATATATTCTAGCATTTATTATATAATGTTACTGCACTCATGATCTATTTTTTCTCTCTCTCTCCATAACAATATGAGTTCTATCAGGGCACAGACTTGTGTCTTTTTTGTTCACTGCTACATTACAAGATGATGAAGTAAAAATTGCCAGGCAAAGAGGCACTAAAATAAGTATCTGTATTTGCATGTTTAATGCTGTAAATTATTCCTGATAGAAACATTTACATACTTTAAATACTGGTCTACTCCAAGTGTAACTCCATTTCTGACAAAGCTCAAAGTAAAGGGCAAAAGACTCTCAACAGAGCAGGAAATCTGGCCTGGCTGCAGGTAGTATCCTGGGGTTTTCGTGGGCATTGTAACTCTGGGAGCATCTAGAAAAAAAAAGCATAGACAATAAATTCATAATGATATTAGGTTCTCCTGTGAATGCATTCACAAGCTCTACATTTAAATTATTCCAGTAAATCTTGTGTGTTCCCATTGACCCAAGTCACTAAAAATTACTTTAACTATCTTTATTTTTTCAAAGCTGATTCATCTCTGGATAATCCCAGGACTCCTCACTATGGTTTCACAGAATCTAAGACTACATTGATTTTAAGACACATTATATTTGGTACCATCAAGATGGAAAAAAAATTATCATGTAAGTTATATCAATTATAGATCACATTTTATTTCAAAAATATAAAACTTTGAAAAGAACTCAAATATCATAGAATGAAATACACAGGGTAAATATTTTCCCAAAATGAATAGGAAATATTTTTAAGAATCTAACATATTTTGTGGCATTCTGTTTAGGAGCTATGTCAACTCACTTTGAATACTGTATTTGAGGAAATGTTTTAAGTTGGTTCTACTCTCACCATTCTACAACTATTAATCCATAGCAACAGAATTGTTCTTGAATTTCAAAATTCAATACCTTATGTATACATGACACTATTGTCCCTCCACCTCTTGGTACAATTTCAGAAACAATCCCTCTACATTTTTGTAGGTCCATAGTTGAAGATATAGTTCTAGTGTCTTGGTCAATTTAGTTAGCCTTGAGAAGTTGTTCAAGTATAAATTGAAATGCTACCTAGTGGTTCAAATAATCCCTAATCTGTGATGTCAACTTTATACAATAAAGATAAGTAAGATAATTTAGTAATTGACTAACCAACTAACCAAATAAAAGTAGAATGATCATCAGTTGTTCAGAAGGCAGTATTGCTCATGAAGCTAAAAGTTTTAGACAACTATAAACATTAAGCCAATTTAGATAGCTTAGTCATGTTCTTTTTAGGGACAGACTGAGTAGCAGAATTTCCCAGTTCAAGCTCTTACAATTAATTAATCAGAATATTAAAATCAACAATCAGTAAGACTTAACATGTTAACTTGGTTATTAAATGGACATGTTATTTAGTGATTTTAAAAAACTGAGTTGTTATCTACGTGTAAATGCTAATCAATTTGGTGACAAAGTAGTAACTGGAAGATAATATGTTTTATTTTATAGTCCATTCTTTGCCACAGGAATCGCCTGCCCTCCTTAAGCTATCCATATTCTAATGTTGAAGAAAATTATGTCTTACCTGGGATAATACTAGAAAAAGAAACACTTGACACTCTCTGGAAAAGATAATCATCCTTATCATAGCCTGTTACTTTGAGAAAGAAAGCTTCATTTGGAGGTATAAAGTCAGAAATATTCCATATGCCATAAGGTTTTCGATCTGGGTAATATTTAACAGAAATAGTCTTCAGAGAACTTCCTGAGATACTTAGAAGCTCGAGACGATCTACTCTGCCTGGACTGGAAATCCCAGAAGTATTCAAAAGTACATAGGTTGGTATTCCTACAAGATAAGGACTTTGTTATTATATATAAGTAACATAGAATTAAAGTTATGCATGAAATAAACATTTGCATTATAATGATATATAAGTACCATAAGGATGAGTATTACAGATTTCCTATGAAGAGTGTACAACTTATAGAATCTTTTCTACTCAAAGATAGCTTGCATGTGATCACACTTAGAAAGTTCTATATAATTACCTTTTAATATTTTAACAATGTATAAATGCAGAAATATTAGAATTATAAATATTGTATTACATGATGTTTGTATTACACAAGTGCTTTTAAACATTCACTATTTTGCATCCTTACAAAAACTACAGAAATAAAAAGAAATAAACCAGAAACAAATCATAAAGATCACAATTGAGTTTTATGATTGAGCTTTCTTTTTAGCTTTAAGATTGGAGATTCTGATGTATAAATAAAAAATAGGAGCAAGGATAAGCGTTAACAATCATCAATGGTTTCATCTTGGAATATTCAATGATACATGGTGTCTTTAATTTTTTAGCTATACACATGCATTTCATTTTGACAACAGGGCAATTTATAGATATTTAGTAAGAAAAAAATTAGTAGTTCTCTAATTTAGTAAGTATAAGGATCAATTGGTGTGCTGACTAAAATGAATATTTCTGGGCCCTATATTCTGTGATTCTAATTTCAGACACTGGATCGAGCCCCAGGAACCTTAATTTTTATAAAGGTCCCTGAGTGTCTGATATCACTGATCTTCAGACTACACTTTGAGAAACAAACTAGGCCAAAAGAGCAATCGTGCTTAAGGTAATGATGTTACGCTTCTCAACTTATTGAATCTTACAAGATTATAAAATCACAGAGGACTACTTTGTGCCAATTTAGGTAGCACGCACATACAAACCTTGCACGGGTCTGTTGACTGTTTTCTTGAAGTCCAGAGTAGGTTTTCGGGAAAAACCAGCGCGGAAATCAATAGTACTGAGACCAGTGATGCGAACAGAGTGCCTCCCACTGCTAGAGGTCTGAAAATATTTAATGGCAAACCCAGTAAGTAGTTGATACAGGATACTGGTCACAATGAATACTACTACAGTAAACTGCAGAATATTAATTAAAGATGATGTCTAAAAACTGAGGCTTTGACCTGGATGTTCTGAGTTTAGTTATGATTCTGTATTTTAAAATGCAAGTTTTTCTCTACTATGTCCTAAGAGAACTGCTGTAAAATAAAATTCAGTAACATATTTCATCCCCAATAGTAAAAGATGTACAAATTGTTCAGCAGTCACTATAAGCATTCAGTCACTACTGAACAGACTACAAGTAAATCTATCAAAGCTCCATAAAAGCACAAACTTTTATTCTGTCATTCACGTGGTAAATGCTCAGCAAATATTGATGAAATGAACAAATGATTAAATTTTTCTGATACAAATACCATCCAGGTTAAACTCTGGAAAATATTTCTTTTTTCTTCACCCCTGGAACATTACCAGGATAAGCATAAGAGTTGACTGCTTTCCAGACTTCAGCCAAATGCCATTCTCAACTCAACAGCATTCTAGCTAAGGTGCTTAGTGCTGAATGGCAAATGTGAACAGAACATGGTCATCACTTTTAAAGAGCTCATAGCTGTTGAGGGAGACAGATGAAGAAGTAGGAATGTTTATACACTGCAGTAAATGGAGTGAAAGAAATACACAAAAGAATAAGGACTAGGCTGTTCAGCTAAACCTTCATTAAGGGGACGATGGTTGCACTAAATAATCATAAACTAAGCACTAAAGTGACTCATATGTACATAAATAATAAATAATTTGGGTTAAGGGCACAGGATATAATAATAACAAAGCATTTCTTCTGTGTCTAGACCCTTTAAATGCACTTGCTTATTTAATCCACATTAACTTCTAATGGAGAAATCATCATTTTTCTCTGTATAGATAAAGAAATCAAGATACTAAGTTGCTAAATAGTTTGCCCACATTCACAAGGCTTGCTAACTGAAAGGGTAGGGTTTTAATCTAAAGATCAAGCTCTACACTCTTCACCATAGGTCTACACTGTCTACAAACATAAATTAGCATTAGTCCCTAGCTCAGCTTCTCTCCAAGAAATACCTGACCACCACTTGTCCAGTACCTGCACTTACACCAATCATGAGGGTTGTTAAAAATGCAAACACTGGAGATCCAGTCCAGATTTAATTAATTAGAATCTCTGGTCATTGGAGTCTAGGAATCTGCATTTGAAAAACCACCTAAGTTTCAGAAACAAAAACTCACCTTTATTTTATATTATGATCACTAAGATTCTGTCCCGAAATGAAAAATAAAACTGCATAATCAGCATTTAAGTAGCATGGGAGGTAAGAGTAGAAGAAAAGCATTCAAAAGATAACATCAAGGCACCAAATATGAATCCCAATCTCAATACTGAGATGCACAGCAATTAAAAATGCACTATACATATATATACATATATATCTATATATAGATATATAGATATAGTGAACAACCAAATGGAGCCATACCATGGTTAAAGAGAGACTACCTTCAGAGCTTTGCAAACTACAAAGTATCCCCTGAATCACTGTGACTCCACATTATTTGGCAGTGAGAAGAGGGAAGATGAGGAGCTATGTTCCTGTTGCTAGGGTATTTTTCCCTCATCATTGATCATCTGCCAAGTGTTCTATGAATAAATCTGCTGTCAGAGGTTATTTTCAAACAGTGGCACTTAACATCTAAGGGGAAAATTAGAAATTATGCAAGTGTTTGAAAATATGTTATCCTCTGTTGTTAAAAATCCATTAAAAATAACAGATTTGATGAATAGTGAGCCCTTTTTCATATAAAATTATTGCAAAATAAATGAACTTCGGCTTTCAAGTACCATGCTAACAAAGTATGTAAAAGTAAGAAGGTAGGTTTGCTATTCTCTGAACAGTGTTAAAATATGAGGAGTAATAAGTTAAATAATAAAACATCTTACTTCTGTGTTTCTATATTATACTGTGGATAGGAGCAACATCTGTATAAAATTTAAAAGGGAATATAAATAAAAGATATCTCCAAGTGAGTTAGTTTTATTCACAATTTCATACAACTCAGGATTAATTAGGGGAAGGAAACAAGGGATCCATAAATAAGCCAGATTTTAAATATAATAAAAACAAAAATTTAAATTAATTTAGTTAAAATAACCTCTAATATTAATTCCCACTTTTATCATTTTTAATCATTCTCTTAAATAAATTACAACAATACTTGGAGAATATTTTAAGAATAATAAATATCACATTAAATTTCTTTATGAGAAAGTGCCCAAATTTTGCTACAAATTAATGAAAGCTATCATTGTAGCTTGCTTTTTATCTGATCTCCCTATATAAAATATCACTGCAATAAAAATAAAAACAGTTTTATGTGTACTAATAAAACCCATCATCAAGTGGAAGCAAAAGAAAAAATATTAAAATGTATATAAAACGCAGGTTAAAACCAAGCCTCTTACATAAATTATTACTGCTAATTTTCACAAAAGCTCTTGTGAGAGTACTATTATTATCCTCATTTCAAGAAAACAGGTTGAATTATTTGTTATAAAAACAAATAGAGCAGGTAACAGAGCTGGGTGGGAACTTCTGGTGGATCCAGAAACCACACTGCTCTATGCATTTATCAGGATGATCTCAATGGATTTGATTTTGCTAGTCTGAAGGATAAAAGTTGAAATATGCTACACAAAATAGAAGGAGAGTAAAAGAACTCGTGGAACTGTCCAGAGAAGGGCAGCAAAGAAAAATGATAGGGAGACAAGAAACTGAGGCTAAGGGGAGTTCAACAAGTAAATCTACCAAACTCACAAAGTGTTGCTGATGGATTTGCTGTGAAATTTTTTTTTTTTTTTTGGTACCGGAGATCAAACTCGGGTCCTTGAACTCGGGTCCTTGCACTTGTGGGGCAGGCCGCAGAATCACTGAGCTAAATCCCCGGCCCTGCTGTGAAATTTTTATGAGATTGAGTATTGCCCTGCATCGAAGTACAAAAACTTAGACTCCACACACAATAATATGAGGCAAGAGGACTGTAAGAAAGTAAGCTTTCAAGAAACTGCAGAAATGTTGGGAGACGGCTGTGAGTTCTAACAGGTTATGAACCTAGAGTAGCAGGAGGAGAGCTAAATGATATGCAGGTGGTGGAAGGACAAATAAAATTCAGCTTTTTCTGTGAGTTAAGCAGAGACAACCCAGCTGTAGTTCTCCACCCTCTCTTCCCTTCCAAATTATTTTAGCCATCTTCTTATGTATGTAATAAAAAGTGAGGCTAAAATTTCTGTCCTAATGTTTCTCTATTTGATCTTTCACATCACGTAGATTCAACCTGTGGGTTACATTACTATTAGAATGGGACTCCCAAAACCAAAGTTCTACCACAGAATCCCTTGAAGTGTGACTACTGCATGGAAGTGCCTTAACCTCATGGCTTCTGAAGCTAAGAAGAAAGTCTAGGAGCATAATGCTGGCACATAGCAGAACAAGAAATCTTACAGACACTAGATGCTGCACAGTGTTTAATGGGCTAGAAACCCTGAGAGCTGTGTTTCAAATAGTCAACTGAATCATACAATTTTTTTAAAAGTTTATACTCTGAGGAGTACCATATTCATTATGTTCTCGAAGTATCTGAATCAAGAATGCATGGGCTGCTGCACTGTGAGCAGAGGCGAGGCAGGGCGTGGCAAAAAGCAATTTACACTAGATACATACTGGCACACTGAAATTGGAAATAGGTAGCCTTGTCTTATAAAACAGAACTGAATCTAGATTTCTGAATTGGAGCAAGACTACCAGGAAATGAAGGCAGGGACAGGCTTAAGCACCATAGAGCAAGCACCATGGAGAGCTCCAGAGGGACCGGAATTGCTCCTCTCAGATAGCTCAGATCTTCCTGGCCAGCTCTACTGCAAATAGATCTATTTAGTTAAAGGGCTAAGACTTACTGAATACCCATCTATATTCAATACCTATCTTTAGGGCAATGACTGTGTCATATTCATAATTTACAGAATATTACTCAATATGTACATAAGTGTGAGTTGAATATTAAAACCATTAAACTGCCTTCTATTGATTTTCTTCTTTAGATTCCCCTAAGATCAGCAAATGCCAGGTTCATCAAGAATTCATTACGCTAAGTAAAATCATATTACCTTATATAACCACAATCACATATTATCTTACATAACTGTATTACAGCCAAAGATGATTTTTATAGAACCATAAAAAATAGAGGCAGAAAGAAATTATTACTTACCTAAGTTTTGACAGCAAGTTCAATGCTTTTTCTGTAGTACCTAAATTTATGCATAGTATTTTTATATAATCTTTTGGTAGCATTGGTCCCTATGATATAGAAAACAATAATATTGTTCAACTATGTGTTTGCTGCTCTCCATTTCTAAGTATTCCTCCAGTTAGGAGCAGTCAGGTTAGATAGATGTTGGTAAACTCCACTACGAAAAAAAGGAAATTTTAATTTTTGGTATTCTTTGAGAGCATGAATACTCCCATCATGTCTGATTTCTAGCTCCCAACCTGATGTCATGGAACACAACTGGGAGGAGAAGTATATAATCAATTCCTCATGAATTATTATAAGCCAGCTCCAGCACACCATCAAACCATAAGTTTGATCAATGATTTATAAAGGGAGTAAAGTATGCTACTTCTACAATGAGACAGAAGTGACATAAATACTTTCTTCTTGTTTATTGCATACATATTCCCCCTGTCTTTTACCCTACTAAAGCAACTAAAGAGCTTGTATGTTCTAAATTATAGTGAGTTCTTCAGTGTTTATAAAACAGAACATTTAACATTTAACATTGTTAAATCCCATGGGACATGTGCTATTAATGAGAAATTATCTTGCTTGTGTTAAGCCAGTGAAAATTTCTCCTAGCAATAAATATGAAACCTATCCAGATAAATCGCAATAAAATGTAACTGACAGAATTGGTTTCTATATCTTTCTCCTAAACAGTTGCAATGTTTTATACAACAGCAAATCTCCCTACTGGTAAAAACAAAAAAATTATGTGTAGCTACATTAGAATAAAGATAAACATATATTTTATTTATACTCAAGAGAATAATTTTACTAATTAATCTATCTATGGTTAAAACTTCATAAACTCTTTTTATTAATATTTCATTTAATTATGACAATATTAAATAGCTGTTATCTTTCTTCATTTTACTCAATACCTCTGAGGTCAAAGAGATATTAAGTAATGGATATTAACTCAAATAGATATCCAGCTCTTTTCAAAGTATTTGCTCTTAAATGACACATCACTTTTTTTCAAAATTAAAGAATATGATAGTTACACTCAACTATTTATTGAGAACCTACTGCAATCCAGGCATTGTATGAGTCACAACAAAATAAGGCAAGCCAGATTCAAATGCCATCATGTCATTGTGCAAGAATGTGGTAAGGAAAGATATTCACAGCATAAAATAAATTCCATTTAAATAAACATGTATACACATATGCCCATATGTACATATATATTTACATATACCCAAGTTTATCTGTACCCAATTATACAAATATCTCTTCTTTTTTGGTACCAGGTATCGAACTTGGGTCTTTGTGCTTGTGAGGCAGGCAGCGGAACCACTGAGCTAAATACCCGGCCCACAAATATCTTTTCTAAATAGAACCATTCCTTTTAGTTAATGGTCAGATACTAACAGACCATTGCCAAAATAACCAAATATTTTCCAGAAAAAATCCACTGTAACATTCCATTGATCCAAATCATTGAATTCATGCTTCACTTAACCCAATTAAATAACACACCTGGTGTAGTCTACAAATGTAGTCAAAAGACTCATCAAGTGAAAATAGAGGACAGCACAATAACATTCTGTGTGGTCTTTGAAGACTCGAGGTGGATTTAATTTTGATTCCCCAACAAACTTATTCCAGCTGAGTATGATTTCTAAACTATCCTTGTTCTGCAGAGGATGGATTACCGTACTTTGACAACCAATACAACTACCTAAAACCAAAATATTTCTACTCGTCTCTGAATCTCAATATAATCACATGGTTTGGTACACTCCCTTCCCTACTTGGGAGATTATCTAAGGACAGTTTATCCAAAGTTACTTACTGGAAACATACCCCAAGAGATGTGTTAAATTATATGATCATACTGATAATCCCAGACAAATAAAAACATTTATTACCTAAATGCATTATTTAGTGTCTTTGCAGGGAGATCCCCTTAAAAAGCAGCAGACAAAAATTGGCCTAGAGAGTTTCTGTAGTTATACACAAATACTCTCCATATAGATATAGCTGCTTGAATGGAAAATTCATATTGCTTCACAGCAATAACATCCAAGATTTGTAACTTCCCTAAAAATGGAAATTTAGGGCTGTAAAACAAACTTCTACTTTTAATAAAATTTTATGTTGTTTTCAGTCACTCTTTTTAGCATGATTTACCTACATCACAGGCAACCTAAAATGTTTGAGTTGTTTAAATCATTACACAAATGGGTTGACTCATTGTCTCTGTCTTGTGAAAGTTACCTAATATGTCACAGTAAAGTATTTGCTGGAGAAACCACAAAATAAAAGAAATAGCATTTCTCAAAACATTTTAAATCATAGATACATTAAAGTGTACTGTATATTACCCTCACTTCAGTAAACTCAACTCATTCTTCTGCCTGCTTCCCTAGGCCTCGTCAGCATAAATGTATTAATTTTTTAGTCATAAATATTTATACAGTTCTTTCCCAGACACTGTGGCATCCACTAGTGACAAAATCTAGTCTATAATAAACTGGGAAGAGAAAATCTGCACAGAACTAAAAATGGTACAAGTGAGAAATTCATCCAAAAGGGAAGTGCAGAAAAATCTCAGTAGAAAGTCAGAGGAAAAAGAGAGCATTTTAGAGAAAAAAAAAATCTCAGAAATCTTGAAAAAAGTGTTACCATTAAAGCTGAACCCTGGATAGTCACAAATCAGACTAAAAGAAAGGTCATTCTAGGAAGAAGGAACCTCTTGGGGAAAAGTGTATTGCATAAGAGTGGAGGAGAGAGGACCAGTACACAATTGTATTTGACTAAAGTATAAAAGCATGTGGTGGGCGATGAGTAGAAAGATCGCCTCAGACTCAATTCAATGGTCCTTGCATAATGTGCTAAGATCCAATAGTAGCTAGACTGTTCTCCATAACTGGGATAGCAACTGTTCCTTGAAATTTAGAAATTTATTAATCCTTCTGAGAGAGCAGACATTTTTCAGATAGCAGAGTGCATGGGAGATACCTCCAAGGATACACTAGACATTTCTCTTCACGAAAAAGTACCCATGGAAAACATTTATTTATCATACATAAAGGAGACCCAGTGTCAGCAGCAATATTTACGACAGTACACTCAGCTCAATTGTCTTTGTGTCACCCTGATAGATTCTTTGGTATTCTATATAGGAGAAAAAAGTTTTTGTTTTTAAATTGCACTGCAATGCTCATCTTTTGTTTAATTGTTGTTACCATTAATTTTATACTGGAAATGGTATAAACCAAGAGTGAAGAGGAGTAGATATAATTTCAGATAACATGGTAACAAATGCTATGCAATTTTATTATTCCTCTAGTTATAGGAGACTGAGTTTAGAAACTTGTCTAAACAGAGTTTTCATTGCTTCATCAACTTATCATCACTCTCCTCACTCAGAGGCTAATCCTCAGTACTTCTCTGTTCTAATTATCAATTAAATGTGCTCAGTGCCCATTAAGTAAGGAGCATGGAACTTGGCCAAAAGCAGACACTCAGTAAATGTTCACTGAATGGAGGACTGAATGAATAGGTGTGTCAGGTGCAAAGGAAAACAACAGTGCATGCAACATCTTTCCTAGGCAAGAGTTTTACTAGAGGAAATACCACTGCCAGCGAGCCAAATGACCTGAAAATAGGATCATGATAAATTACTAGTAATATAGAAGAATGATAGCATACAACTTGCATATATTTCATAATCAATAATGGATAACCTAATGTCACTACTCAGAAAGCAGGAAGACATCTCAATGGACGGCTAGCTCAGGACCCTTATGACTTAAGTCATGCTTAAACTTTTGGGGGAATAAAGAGACTCAGTATGTCTTATATTTCTATTTGGTCATAGAAAGTTAGAATCAACACTAGTCAGATTTTTGGTAAATTGATCAAAATAATTAAAACAAATCTAGCCACATTTACTTAACATATCATAGCAGCAAAACACTTCATCATTGCTAATATGTACAAGGAACTGCATGACTGAAACAGACAAATAGGATCATTCTTGGTCCACTCATTAAGAAATTACCAGATTTACTTTTCACCTATTCTCCTATCCCATATTATCCATCTCAAAAACTCCATATTACAGTTTTTCAGCCTTACAGGAGTTAGAGTTCTGAGAATAAACAACTGATACCTTAGAACTTAAACAGAATAACATCAACTGTCATTCTTTAAAGTGGGAAAATTAATGTAAATATTCTTTCAAAACAAAACCTAATAAGCCAGGCATGTGGTGCATGCCTGTAATCCCAGTGCTCAGGAGGCTGAGGAGTACCACTGTGAGTTCGAGGCCAGCCTGAACTGCACCGTAAGACCTTGTCTCAAACAAACAAACAAAAGAAACAAACAAAAAACCTAATTGGCATGCAACTAGCTCCTTGAATCTCTATGGTATACCACTTCCACACTCTTTAACAGTACTTTTAGAATTTGAATCATGAGTCTATAAATCTCATTTCTTACACAGGGAGGCTGATATAACAAAAGAGAAAATAATACATAGAGTATCTTCATTTAGGTTCTCCCAGGAATCTATTGCAAGTTGTTTACTTGGGAGATGTAAGGATGCTGATAGGTAGAGAGGAAGTAATACAGGAAAACAAGAGGCCAATAAAGGGTGAACTTTTAAGACTGCACCCGTGGTGAGCATCTGGAACTTATTCCTTCAGCGACTAAAAGCTGCTCCTGAGAGGTATTAATTCCTCAGCAGAACAGCTTTCTCCTGTTGTGGAAAAAAAAGCCTCTCAGATACAGAAATGCAGAAACTGGAGTTGGAAATAGACCAAAACACACTGAAAAGTCTGAGAAATATGGGCGAGTCACTCAGAGCACTTTCTATAGTGAGTCATCCATACAATGTGCAGTAAAATTAGATCTCTGATTCATGGTATCTGAATTTCAAGTGTTTTATGTTTCCCATCTTTCCTCTATATTGTCAACATAGTGACTATATACCCCTTGAACTAATTCAAGGACACTAATACCATTTTGTTTTGAAGAAAACAATGAATATAGATCTACCAGGTAACAACAGCCAATAGTACTTGAGAGCTTGCTCTGTCAGGGATACTATGTAAGTTTTAGTCTTACTTTAATTCTCAGCCCAATTCTAAGAAGGAAAGGGCTGCTGCTCCCACCTGACACAGGAAGAAAGCAGAGCACAGAAAAATTCTGTTCCCAAGGAAATATAGTTTTTAAGATTGAAATTCACACCCACACAGTTCTACCCCAGAGCCTGTGGCTCCATCCATTATTGTCTCTTGGCTCCATCTCTGATGATTTTGGAAGCAGGGGATGCATAATAAAATCAATCTACAGATTTGATGATAGGAAAACTATCCAAGAATTTTAAACATTAGTATGTGGCATCAATGACATTCACAGTCATCAAAACTTAAAACTGTCAAATTCACGTGACTGAGACACCTCCTACACATGAACCACATATACGGCTTTGTATTAAAAGTGCTCCCCATGACTGCAGAAGCAAGATATAAACTACTGTATATATTTTATAAAACATGCCAACATAAAAATAAAATAATAAACAGACTTTTTGAAATAATACCTTCACTGTCCACATTCCAGCCTCTGGCTCTTTTACATTCACCACTTTGGCAGAGTTATGTATATTTAATAGTTCATTCAGGCCAAATCCCTTTTTTATCAGCTTCCCTGAAAGATAAACATAAAGGTAACAAGCATAATCTTTCTCCTGGCTAAATATATTAACTAATTTAAGATTATGAAAAGCTAACTGTCTGATCGGGTTTCAAATAACAGAAACAGCTTTTATGCAAGTGTGTTGCGAACTGTGTAACCCAAAAAGCACTTATTTTCTATTCTCTGGCTAAAATGACAGGTACTTTATTTCTACTATATTACCTGGCAGACAGTTGTTTCCATAGCTTAAAATATTATGTTATTTATATCTAAAATATACTTAATTTTAGGGTTTCTGAACACTGGAACTGAAGTAAAAAGATTCCCACTTGTTATGCCAATTTGATGACAAAACGAGAATAACAATTGACAAACTGTAATCATATTTCTAAAGCCAGCCTAGACAACAATTGCTATGCTACCAAGAAGTTGCATGCAGTCACTAGAGGGATTTAGATTAAATAGGTGGCAAACACAGTAAACCAGAATAAATTTCTCCCTGGCAGTCACTCAAGGTATTACTAACATGAGAGCCCTGAACATATCTTTGAACAAAGTACAAATCTTCCACCAATTTTCCATGAAATACAAGAGAAGGGTTTATCTGTCCTAGGAATTATTAAAGGAGGAAGTGTAGTGCAGTAGCATGACACCACACCCTACTGACCTAAGACTTATCTAAAGTATCCAATGCTTGTGACTTACAGAGAAAGAAAAGCAAACTTGGAATTCAGTCATGGTTTCTTCACTCCTGGCCTTCTTATGGACTACTTGTATAGTTATATAAACAAGTAAGTTGTAAGTATGTTATGTTTCAATAAAAAGGTCTGCAATAATTTGTATGTATAAGGATTTTTATAGTAGTGAAAGCATAATGCAACGGATAAAAATGCTTCTAAGTACCTTACATCATAGAAAATTCAAGCCTTCCCTGAGCAGCCTGGATGTTGTTAAGTGGAATGTTACCTCAACAGACAAGTCTACTAATGTGGTCAAGCCTATGGAAATCTTGAAAAAAAGATGTTTTCCTTATTTTGTATATTTCAATGTATTTGCTAATGTGGGTGGATATAGCCTCTGAGGACAACTGCACACACTGCCTTCTTTTATTTTATTCTAAGCTGCAAATAAGGAAAGCTAGTAACCGCCCTCTTTATATGTAATATTCACAAAGAGGAAAACATAAAAATATTATAATGCCACATTGGAAAAAAACTATTTTGCCAATTACCAATAGGCAAAAAACATTTATAAATGCAATTAAGAAAAATGAGATTTCTTTTATTATTAGGTTGTTTTTCAATGTAAGTCTTATAATTATCAACCAGCAGCAGAATCAAGAAAACCATATGGTTATAAAGAATTATTGAAAGAGCAAACTAAATTAAAGCATTCATCTATTAATAATGTAAGTTTATTTTTAACAACTCTGTTCTGTAAAATTACACCTTTTAAAGAAAATTATTCAGTGGAAAACAAGACAGTTGTTTTAGAATGAATTTTTAGTGTGATTCAACTACATGAACTACATTTCACAGAATAAGTTACTGTGAAATATCTTACATAGAGATTAAATATATAATTTGAAGTTTAATTTAAATATTTTCCTTTTGGATAATTTACTCAACCTGTTTTTGCTTAAACATGAGAAGCTTTAGCTTTCTGAATCTTGTGTTAATTCAACAATACTTAGGACTAAAAGACCTTTTCCTTTTTCAACATCTTAATCATTTCTGAATTTATTCAATATATTCATAAAGCTGGTATTAATCTGTGTAAAAAGTTTCCCTTCCCCATGGTTTTTGTACTACATTAGGCAGTGTTTGATTTATCTCACCTAAAGGATTGCGAATCTCAATCACTGGAGAAGGGCCACTCAGAGACACAGTGACCTCTTTGAGGCTGGGGTCAAAAGGAATTTTCCAAATAGTCACAGCCTGTTCCAAATGATCTGTCGATAACAGGTGAACTTTGGAGGCCTGCACTGCTTCTTCTACCCACTTTAACACCTGAAAGAGAAAGGAAAGCATGATAACTGGAAGCATTTACAGTCTACGCGATGGTTATTTCAGGTGCTTTGGTTAATGACATGATTCACATACTTCCTGTAGTGCTGTGAGGTTTGTTTCAGCCATTGGTGAAGACAGAACTTTTCCTACCTTCAGCTATTCCAGATTCAGAATAAAATGTTGGTTCTACCCATGTTCAAGTTTTCCATCTTTGAATAATACAGTCAAAATAAGACTATGGTGCACAAACACCAGTGAAGTGAAACATGGAAAGATATTACAGTTTTCTGTGTCTCAAGAGAAATAAAAAGAACCTATAAAAATCACACTAGTGTCAATATTGTGAGATCCTTTTTCCTCCATTCTTTCTGGATTTTATTTCTTCTTACATGAAATCACTAGATACTCACTTGGCAAAATATCAAGTCTAATTTCAGTATGTTAATGGCTGTATTAAAATATATTATAATTATTGTACTATCTCATATTATGGCATACAAACTTTTAGAAAATAATTACAATGTCAACAAAATAATTATTTTTTCTGATAAAGTAAGTACCAAAAAATAGGAAAAATAACTAATGTACTTAAATTGGAACCAATTTATGTAGTGCATTCTTGAAAAACAGTTTTTAGGAAAATATTAAGAAACTGAGTTTGATCCCCGGTACCAAAAAAAAAGAAACTGAGTTACAAAAGGGTGTAAGCAAGAGAATCTACCTCATCATTTCTGTTTCTGTTTCATGTATCCTTCAAGACTTTATCTCATTCCTAATGATTCATCTTGTAGTTAGGCAAAACCATTAAACAAGCTGGATAGTAAGTAACAGTCATTAAAAATTTTTTAAATTTCCATAGTAGTCTCAAATGAATAAAGCAACAAATACTGTGTAGTGTTTTTATTTTCCATAAAAAGCATCCTTTCCCTTTTATTTGTTTTCCCTCTTCAAGGACAAGCTAAGACATATTATCACATAATTAACAATATTAGGCAGTTTTATGTTCCTAATAAAATAAATATTTATTGTTTGAAATACTCTTCCAGGTACTAACTGACGTGCATATTTTACTCAGTGTTTTGTATTTTTCATCCTCTGAACTAGTATTTACTTGATTTTTATTTTTAGTATATGCTATTGTTTTTCATACTTTGCTCGAGGGTCAAAATTTACTTTGATTTCTTTTATATCTAAAATAAGTAGAAGGTACTATGTCACTGAACTTGGTCATAATGATGATAATTTATCAAAATTTAATAAAAGAATGTAATGAGAATCTCAAGACAAACAATGTTAATTGAAACAATATATGTAAAATGTCATCACAGTACTGGCACATGGTAGGTAATAAAATATTAGCTCCCTCCATCCCCAAATATATTCACTTCTCTTCCCTTACTTGTTTCAGCAATACCTTTCATAGACAATGTAAATAACCTGGCTATGAAAAGCACAAAAGATTTCTCTTAAGTGGAAAAAAGTAGCAAATTCATACTAGGTAACAGAGAGTATGTGAGCCAATATACAAAGACAGAGGTGCTACAAATATGTTAGAAACATGAGTGACTCCATCTGGCTGCACCGAAGGAAGGGCTCAGATAAAAGATTAACCAAAGATAAGGTTGGAAACTTGTTTAGGGACCAGACAACAGATGGTCATAAAAATCCAGCTATAACATTTGGATTTTTCATAAAGATCTCAATGAAAAGTGCTGAAGGATTTTAAATAGTAGAATGAGATGCTTAAAGTGATACATGATAAAGATAAACTTGTACAGTTATCACAAATGAACAGAAAGCCAACATCTATTACACCTAATTACCCCATAAATGAAATGATATATTTCCTCAAGATTTAACCTTATAATGTATCTGAATTTTGCATATGAAATAAAGTATACATCAATACAACTGTATAAAAAAGCAAATGCTATTTTTCAAAAAATGGGTTTTTAGTCTTTTATCATGTTTGAAGATAAAGATTCTGCTCATCAAATCTGTCCATATAGCAACAGAGACCAGACTGCTTATATCTAATATTTTACCAAGTATGGAACATGTATCTTAATAATTAGAGTGTTGACATTTTTATGTCAACATAGAATATGGCTATAAATGTCTACCTAACTCAGAAAATGCACAGGATTGACTTTGGGTCTGGGAATGTATTTGACAAATTTAACTGGTAATAAATAATTTTGAGGATAATGTCTGACATAGAGACTGAAATGGGCAAAGGGCAAAGGGAAATTGAGCAAATGGACAGAACATTTCTTTTAAGGGAAAAATACATAATATGGTCATGAATGATTCTCAATTGAGTAAGTGGAAAACGATTAGAAAATAAGTACTACTAAGAATTGAACCTCAAATTTAATAATGAAATGAAATATCATTAAGTAGAAATGGAAGTGCAGTCAATTTTTATATACATCTGTAAATTTACAGTATATCTCTGGGTGGCTCCTCAAATACATCTTTTCTTGAAATACAATGTAAAGAGATTACAACACATTACTAAAATTCTACCCTGTCCTCTACTAGCTACACACTGAAAATCACCAGGTCTTAAGCTTCTTCAGAAAATGAAAGCCTGCCTCAATTTAGTTGCATTTTCATTAGACAAGTATGTTCAAATGCTATAGAATATAACCGGGCATTAGTTTATTTTTAATATTGTCTCTAATCCATCAACATTTATGAGGCTCTCTCAAAGAGATTATCATGTACATAACATGACTTGTTGGAAAAGACATAGTACAGACTTCTGTCAGGAGTCTCAAATCACTTTTTTATCCACTCATAAGAAAATTAAAATTGAAAACAGATGCAATTCATTTTATTAGAAAACACATATTACCAACAGATGAATTCAAGTAGATTACTGTAAGCTACCGGATGCAACATAACTGAGCATTTTGGCTGCTCAGGTGGCCAGATTTATTTTATTTTATTTTTTGGTACCGGGGATCGAACTCGGGTCCTTGCACTTGGGCAGCAGGGCGCGAAACCACTGAGCTAAATCCCCGGCCAGATTTATTTTTTAATCTTTGATTGTCAAACTATAGAAAATGTTTTCATGAGATTGGAAATGATCCATTAAATGGCAAAAGAAATGAAACTAGAATAATATGACAGCCATTGGATTGTGCCATTTTTATCAAAAAAAAAAAAAACCTTTGCCTCTCAGGAATTGTATATAGTACATTAAAAGTTTTAATGTAGAAATTGTTCTGAAGCAATCTGTGACAGTTTATAGGAACAAAAGACCTTCGACCATCTAATCCAGGCTCTTAATTTGATAGATGAGAAATTGACATTTGAAGTGAGCTCCTTTATGTTTTAAACCTACCGACTGATTCTGGCTCAACAGCTACATTTTTAACAAACCCCTTATGTTCCTGAAGATGCTCTTATAGTTTAAAGATTTTATAGTCTATGTAATGATCAATACTTAAAAACAATTTCATATATCTCTGTAATTCTGGAAAGAGGTACAACTCTTGTTTTAAAGTAAAAACCCGGGGTTGGGAATTTAGCTCAGTGGGGCCGCTGCCTGCCTCCCAAGCATAAGGCCCTGAGTTCGATCCCCGGTACCAAAAAAAAAAAAAAGTACAAAACTGTATATATTATCATGAAGGATAAAATAGAGTACTATTATGTAGGAATGGAAGTTACTTTCTGCATACATTCTTACAACAGAACCTGGAAAATAGCTTTCTTTTCAATGGGCATTTCATAATCTAATGAATTATAGCCAAATGAATTTCTCTGGGTCATCTTTTGTTTTCTTGGTGGGAAAGTAGAAATTATGGTAAAGTGTCCAATAGAATTTACAGTTATGTGCTAATTGGTATTGTTGTGTCAGAGAAAGAGATACAAGAAGAAAAGAAAGGTAGAGAGGTAGGGAAGAAGGAATTTTATTTATATAAGATCTTTACCCTTAGAGTTAAGAATAAGGTAAAAGGTAGCATTTTAGCTCTGAGTTCATTTGTGACAGTCTGCTCAGCAATGAACCGTCAATACTTAAATGAAATAAGGTTCAAACCTGTACGTGTGGTCTTAAATCAGGGCGTCAGGCTGTATTTAATTTTTATTTATTTATTTGGTTGGTTAGCTTGGGATTTAAAAATGTAGAGATAGAATTTCTGGAATTAAGCTGGTGTTTTGTGAAGATGTATGCTTCTCAGTAACATGGATAAGGATTTTTCAAGCTGAGGGATCGCAGAAAGTTGGTTAAGGTGTAATTTCACCCATCTAATTAGTGGAACCTACTCTGAAGAAAACTTATGTAATATAACTACTAATACCAGCATGTAATTTTACAGTGTTTATTATATGCCAGACACTTCCAAGAGCTTTACATTGCTGTTTTCAAAAGACTTCTGGCCTAAGTACACAGGCACAATTATCGCCATTTCACAGATAAATGAGTCATGGATGCCAAAGTTTATGAGTCACACAATTAGCAAGAAGGTAACTTTTGCCTTTTGGCCCTAACGGTCTTGTCTTTCACATTCTGCTTACGGAATTACCATAAGGAAAAAATGTCAATTTTGGAGAGTGAATCACAGAATTAATAGCTAATATAAAACAAAATCAGCCCAGGTGTTTTCAAAGATGGCATGCAAAATATTGTGATTAAATTAGCTGTATTATTTTCTTCACTGTTTGCAGAGTAAATTGTAAAAACTGAACAATATAAAAACATTAAAGCCTTCAAATCTATATTGTACTTGATCTGAGGACAACTTGGTATGTTTCCGAGATGATCATTCTGTAGTAAACCCTATACAACAGCACTGGCAGGCTTCACTCACCTCTTACTCAGCGAAGAGAGACGTGGTTCTCTGGATAAGCAAGAGAGCCTTTTGGTGTGGGTTCAAGTTTATTCCTACTCTCTAATACAGCATTCAGCATATAATTCAGGATTTCCTTAGAAGTCTCTATCCATTTACTGAATGTCCAGGTGGACATGGGAAGGAGATACTCAGAGATAA